GTGTGGTGTGTCCCCCCACGTTGGGAACCAGTGGCGCAGGCGTTTCAGTTGGGGTGGGAGGCTAAAGTGAAGGGGGGGGGAAAGAAAGGGGTAACAATTTAGGACCCCCACCTTCAACAAATAAAAGGGGTGTCCTGCTACTCAAGCGTAAAGAGGCATTGGACTGGTGCCACGGCGCATGGCCCCAAATTTCAGCAGCCGCTTTGAACAACGGAGCGTAGAGTCTTTTTAAGGCTAGAAGTCACGCATGACGCTCGCTCTGACCACATTACCTGACTGCTTCTTTTGTGAGGTCTCTGTGACTTTGGCAGAGTTTGTTTTCGCGGCTTTGTCACTGATCCTCTCCTTCTATTATAAAAAATTGGGGGGGGGGGAAGGAAAAGAGAAAATGAAATATAGAAAAAGATAAAGAGCCTTCCTAATTTAGATATAGAAAGAAAACAACGGAAGGAAATAATCACCCCATTGAAACAGACTCCAAGTAAAAAATATAATCTCTAAAACAGTCATTTAATTTTTAAAACAACGAGTTTTAAGTTAGGACTTTTCAGACTTCCGCGTTAGGACTAATTAGAGCTTTCATTTAAAATTCCCGCAGGGGAACCATATTTTTTTCCTGAACGTAATGTTTAGTTAGTTGATCGGTTGTAGGTTTGGAAAACAGGTTACTAAGCAAAACATTGGTTTTACTTGAAGGTTAAAATAGCAGCGTCTCCAGTTGAAAAGGACGTGAGCCTTTGACTTACAACCGGTTGGCCATTCAGAGTTATTATGACTTTATCGCATTCCCGGCTGTCAAAATGCCTACCAGACCCAGGGCTTCCTTTGGGCCGGTTGGCAATCAGCTGACGTTTACAACTAGTTGCAGCATCCTGTGGTCACCAGGCTGCGGTTTGTCAGTGGTAAAATTGGGCCTGGTCACATGGGTGCTTCAACTTACAACTGGATTTCTGTTCCCAAGAACAGTCGGAGGTCGAGGGCTGCCTGTCACAAGGGAAGGGTTGTTATCAACGTTTCCTATGAGGATGGCTGGGATGTTAAGAGCCGAGGTGGCGCAGTGGGTAGGGTGCAGCACTGCAGGCCACTTCAGCTGACTGCTATCTGCAGTTCAGCGGTTCAAAATCTCACCGGCTCAGGGTTGACTCAGCCTTCCATCCTTCCGAGGTGGGTGAAATGAGGACCCGGATTGTTCTTGGGGGCAATATGCTGACTCAATTTGCTAAAAATCTGTAAACGGCTTAGAGAGGGCTGAAAGCCCTATGAAGCGGTATATAAGTCTAACTGCTATTGCTATTGTTATATGCACAAAGGTTTTTTTTTTAACCCAATCAATTCATAGATAGGTATGCACAGGTATCTTCCCTGTAAAAGCATCGTCCCCTACTGTGCAGAACAACCTAAATCATCCAGTCCATAGTTGCCCCAAAAGTGCTTTTTCCGGAGGCAACTGGTCTTTCTGCTTTTTCTTTGAAGACGCTTCGCTTCTCATCCAAGAAGCTTCTTCAGTTCTGACTGGATGGTTTCATTCCCCCAGCATTCGGTCAGAGCTGAAGAAGCTTCTTGGACGAGAAGAGAAACGTCTTCAAAGAAAAACCCAGAAAGTCCAGTTGCCCTTAGTGGCTAAATTTGTGACTTTTAACAGGAAGGAGTTAATGATCCCATTTCTCTGGCTTTGTTAAAGGATATTAAGGAAAGGTCTCCAGGTGGGAGGAAATCAGGCTCAATGCAGGCTGGCATCTCTGAGGGACAGGTGGGCTCTGAGCTTTCTTCCCACAGATTAATTTGAGTGCATGAATGGAAGCTATCCTCTCCGCAGGAATTCATTAAAACCGAGAACCAAATTTTGGTGAGGTTCGGCAGAAGATGCTAACCGCAACTATTCTATCATCATCTTTTAAGACCTGATGTTCATGTTTCTTTTAATTTAATTTATTAAATTTATAGGCCGCCCAATCCCGGAGGACTCTGGGCGGCTTACACAAAACAAGAAAAGAAAAAACAAACAAAATGAAAATAAAAATAAGAATTTAAAAATTCTCCAACACACATACGCTCAAAGTGGGGCTGGACCCTACATAATAAGGTCAACAGCCCCAGGCCTGCCGGAACAGCCAGGTTTTAACGGCTTTTATGAAGGCCGTGAGGGTGGGTGAGGTCCGGACCTCTGGGGGTAGCTGATTCCACAGGGTCGGAGCAGCCACAGAGAAGGCCCTCCTCCGAGGCCCCGCCAACCGACACTGTCCGGCTGACAGTGCCCTAAGGAGGCCCACCCTGTGGGATCATATCGGCCGTTGGGAGGTATGCGGCAGTAGGCGGTCTTGCAAATACTTCTGATGTTAGACTTCTGATGTTATTTCCATATGGCCTCTTGATTCTTTCAGCTTTCTCTATTTTTCCATTTTTGAGAAGGGTGGTGCAATTGTCCAGTCCAAACTCTTTTGCACCTGGTTGTATATACGAACAGTGTTGAGAAAAGATATCTTTTC